CTCTAATTGGCATAATTCCTTCAGCCCTGGCTTATAATTCAAGATGGATCAATTCTGCAGCTGACAAGATAGATGATGTCATCAGTACTCGGAAGCAGCAATTTATATTTCTTTGTTTAGGGACACAGCCATCCACCTACCTCCACAGGGGTCCTATGTGTGAATCAAGAGCAATGTGTGGCCAGTAGACTAAGACTTGACTTAGACTTCCAGCCATGCAACTTATTAAAATAATAAATATTTTCATTATCCAGAGAATCCATTATAGTTCTCCAGTTTAGCTATTGTTAACTAATAATTTGGATTAATTACCAAGTTAAATCATTAAAAATTAAATCCATATATTTTGCTTCTTTAAAAGAGCGATAGCTTGCAACCATTTGTGTATTATGCATGTTAAGTGGGAGAGTGATGAAATATGTTGTGTTAACTTAACTTTGACAGCATCTGTATCCATGCCATATTACACTCTGATCTTATCAAATCTCAGAAGCTACAGTGTATAAATAGAATGTGATGATATTTGCAGGAGAGAAATCACTCACAATATTTTTGGCATCTTCTGTAGTGACTAGAGAAGAGCCACCTAACGAATACAGCATATAATAATCCAATAAAGGGGTGTATAAGAGCGTAGAATCAAGGAGTACTTACACCTGCTGAGTCACATTTAAGGTTAGGCATATGTTAGCAATCGGACATAAACACAGCTTTCATCCTAAGGAATTTCAAAGCAGATTGCAAGCTTAAATAAATAGGGAAACCCAATTCAGAGCTCATTTCACTCTCTGCTGAAGCAACACCAGCCACTGTGCTGGAACTTAGCACTGACTTATTGAAATATTAGCAGCTTGAAGACATACAGATACAGGAGGAAAGTAAAGCTATTTAAAGAGTAAAAAAATTGTCCACAAATGTACATCTTATTATGTTAAGAGTACTAAACTGTGGACTGTGCAACTGCTCAAACTGCAAGTTACTGAGCTCAATATGAGAAAAACAGTGAAACTGCATAGGCTGTGATATACAGGTGGCTACAGTAAATAATCCAGTGGGTTTGCCTTGTTGTAAACTACTAGGTTATGAAAAACCACTACATTTAAGACTCTTTACAATTAAGCCTATAAGTATATAATTATAATGGAACACTCTATTTGAATTTAAATAGCAAACCTATTATAAACTATAGTCATTAGACTACTTTAGAGACTCCCGAAACTGCAAGATGCACTGTCTAGTCCCGGACCACACTCTGTGTACATGGCTGTGAGGCTGCCCCAGCAACTGCTGAAATTCACAGGCAAAAAAAAAAGGTACTGCCCATGTCCCACGGCCTATGCATTGGTGTGTGCACAAGTGGGGTAAGATGTAGAAAATCACATTTTTGAGATTCACTGTACTGATGCTAAAGCATTTCCTACACTGGTCACCTCTAGAACTCCTCTCCTCTTCTTTGAAAGCATCCAGCTTATGAATTCTCTGGCAATTAATTTCTTGCTGGGTACATGTTTTAAAGGTAGGTCATACCAAAGAGATACTATGGCGATATTTTGCATAGAGGATGTTGACTAAGAATATAGTATTTCTCACCTCCCCCTTATTTTATGTTGCATTAAAATTATCTTAACTCTTCCTCAGGCTATGTTGCTATGCCACACTTATGACAGAGTCTGAGAAGTGGGAGATGTCGACTTTTAAGATGATGTTCAGCTTTACTGATACATGCAATCTTTATGTAAGGTATTTGAATTACACATTGTTTTTAGGCCTTCAGCTCTTCTTACAAAGTCTGCTTGACTGGGCACAGTTGCTTGCTTATTCTTAATGAAGAGTTGTTAACAGAGGAAAGAGCACAATGAGGGGGCAAGTAATGCCTACATGAATCATTAAAAATGTATGTACAACAAGCAGGATTAGATAGCACATGGAATACTTTTATTTATATATAACACCATGCTTTCATAAAGAGGCGGGATTCACTCCCTACAGGAGCTGAAAATATGTTGACAAGTCACACAGCAAGGGATGACAGGGGAGAGCTGGTAGCTGTGGGGAAGCTGTGGGTTGCAACAGGCAGTGTGGAAGGAGTTCCTTCAGGCACAATCCTGAAGTCCTTTTAAACAGTCTGCACTAATTTATTGTATGTTACTGTTCTGATCACGGAATGCATTGGAGATAGATGGGACACTTTTAAGTAAGACAGTAGCAGGTGAGGTTACTGTTCTGTGGCTGGCAAGCGGAAAGTATTTGAGTGAATGAGACCATGGAGCACAGAGAATGCTCCGGCCACAGGAACCAACCACAGTGTTATGCTGAGGAGTCAGCAGAGGAGCACAGCAAAGTCCCAAGCCTGCCCAGCCAGGCACATCAGAGAGGAAGCAAAATTAGGGGGAGAAGGTTAAAGGTCGCACATACACGGAGTTTCCAAAATGCCACCAGGGCCAGAGGAAAAAAGGGGAAACATCCAGCACCTGGCAGCTAACCAAAGCAGTCGAGATTTTCAATTGACATTAATTTCAATGCAATTAGTCTTGATGTTCTCTGCTCTGCATGAGAAGAGAATCACGGCTACGATGGGAAAGAAAAGAAAACCACAATAATAATATCCATGCGAGAAATGTAAAAGAAAAATAATAATTTTTTGTGTTAAAACATATTAAAAACATAAAACATACTGCCTATGTCGCTATCATTATATATTACTGTTTGAAATTTAATTCACTCAGTGCTATTCATGCTGTTTGTTTACTTTTTCTATTGATCTCAGTTTGGATGATGAATTTAGACTACAGATTTTTGCTTCCAAGTTTCCACGTGTTTGTGAGCTACCACTTGTGAGCATTGCAGTCCACCTTGTGCTTTACAGAATGACCTATGATCTGCTCCAGTGCTGATGTAAAGTCTACCTCTAGCGATTTAGTCCATAAAGACAGCCTAAGCCTGCTCTGCTGTACGTACTATTTCAGGGGTGATTTAAGCACTTCTGCAAATCATTGTGTAAGCTGGATCCCAGGGAAAGAATCTGTGCCATGCTGCAATGTGGGTTGCACAACTTCCCTTAAAATAAGAACAGTGAGGCAGCACAGGCTGTGACTTGAAAAGGTCAGTATAAATATGCTACCCTTTGCTCCTTCACACATAACTAATATATTTATTGAGAATGTTATCTGCTTTGCAAGCTCAACCTTCAGTCATGGTAAGCTTTACTTCAGCTGACAGAAAAATCTGTTTTCAGGTGGGTTTACATGTCCATTAGTATTGGACCAAGCCTGGCATCTGAACTGGCCTGAGTTTTTCTCATTTTCATCTTCATTTGCTCTGGTTAGACAGGGGGTGCCACAAGCCTTCTCAAATGGGACATGTCCTTCTGCCTCCCCCGGGTAAGGCGAGGAGACAAACCTGGCAGGAGCCGGCTCCTGTGTGTCAATCCAGGGCATAGATGTGCCACATCCAGAGGGGTCGGGGGACTTCTGGCAGTAGGAGGCAGCACCACCTTGGCTGTGCAAGGGAACAGAAGCAGCTCTGGAGTGGCTCGGGACTTTCAGATGATTTGCCGAAAGCTGCGTGCAAACTGTCGGGGTTTTCAAACCTTTCCCTTGCAGTGTGCCTACGCTGCAGCCAAAGCTGCGGCTGCAGCCCATGCAGGATTACCAACTCTAAATTAAATCGAACTAACTCAGAAACAAATGACATAGTCACAAAATCAGACGAGAAGCCTGCGTAAATACTCGAGCCTGAACAAGTATTTTCTTGTTCTGGGCTGCCAGGGTGCCACGCACATCGGGGTGTCCCTAGCCAGCTGCCAGCTGGATTGGGTTGGTCTCCAGGAGCAGGGATCTCCCAGTGTGGGATTGCTCTGCAGATATTCGCGTTGGCGCTGTTGCATGAATAGCCCCCTCTTTTCATCACAGATTTTGCACATTTCTTCTCCCCGTCTGCGATGACATGGCACTTCTCTGGCAGCTACTCACTGCTTAGCTGAAAAGCTCAACATTCTGGAAAGTATTTAATGTGTGTTAACCTCTCCTAATGTGATTCAGCAGCTACAAATAAGGAGCGCCTGCCTCCCTTGGCCAGCCAGATATCACAGCCACTGCCTCACGCAGGCTGGATGGACAGCGTGAGGCGTCTGACTCGCTTTGGTGGCAAACACTGATGATTGGTACTTGTATTTTTAACCACAGATCACTCATTTTTAAAGGCTTCATGCAATTCAGGGACCTTTAATGAGCTATGCAGCTCTAGGTGGACCTGCGTGGAGATGGAGACTTGCACAGGTGCAGTTTATTACACATCTAATGAGGAATCGTTGTATAAAGGCCTTGAGCCACCCCAGCCCCCGGACTGTGGAGAGGGTTTGTGGGGGCACCGTGGGGGGCCGGCACCAGCCCAGGGGGTCCACGGCCGCGTCCCACAATAAATATCACAGTTTCTCCCTAGTGTTTCTCTGCCGAACGTCCTGGTGCACACCACGCATGAGGTGCTGGTCAGTCGGGGTGCTGTGGCCCACCCGAGGGCACCCGGCTAGAAGGAGAAGGAGGAAGACGGGGGAAACCCCTATCCCAAACCCAACTTCGGCGGGCCAAACCCCTCACTGGGGGTGCAAGTTTCCGCAAAGTCCCGGTACCCCGCGGGCTGTGCCCCCCCCCCCCTCCCTGCGCCAAGCGGGTGCTGCGCGGGCGCAGCGTGCGCGGGGCGGGCGCCGCGCGCCGCCTCGGCCGCGCTCCCGGCGCACGGGTGGGAGGGAGGAGGCGCGGGGGAGCGGGGCGGGAGCGCAGCGCGGCGGCGGCCGAGCCGAGCCCAGCCGAGTGGAGCCCAGCCGCGCCGCTCGCACACGAGCAGTGGCACCGTGTGCTCGCTTTTGGGGGGAGCGTGTTTGCTTTCCTTTTAGGGGGAAGCGGGAGGAAGGTGGTCGTGGGGGTCTGTCCCTGCCCGCGCGCGTGCGGAGAGGGGCCGCCGGCAGCGCCGGGGGTGCTCCGCGCCCTCACCCTGCCCGCGGTGCAGTTACGATGCGCCCCGGACGCCGTGTGGTTGCAGCGCGCCGGCGCTGACATCGCTCACCATGGACAGCTTCGACTTAGCTCTCCTTCAGGAGTGGGACCTGGACTCTCTATGGTGAGTGGTGCCCCTGCTTCCCTCCAGGCGCGGGGACGCGGGCTGCGGGGGATGTGCGGTTACTAAAGGGTTGTAATAACTGGGGGATGTGCAATAATTTGGAATGGGTGTCCACTTTCCTAGAGAGGTGGAATAAATGTGGGATGCAGTAATAGTAGGTGTGCGATAAGGGGAGTACACTGGCTCGAGGGTGCAATAACTGGGGCAGCGGGTGCATTAGCAGAGGGTGCAGTACCCCGGGAGGTGTCTCTCCTGCTACTTGCTCTCCCAGCATTGCTGGCCCGGCAGGAGCAGAGGGAAGGGTACCCCCGTCCCCTGGCTGCCAGAGTGGATCCAGGAGGTGAGCGCGGTGTTTGGCTGAGGGCGGAGGTCTCCTGCACTCGCCCCTCTGCCCCCCCCGCCCCCGCCCAATAGTACCTTGTGCTCACCCGCCTCCGGTACCCCGGTTTGCACTCCCGTAGCTCATCACCCATTCTTCCTGCACGCCCCTTTAAAACCGCCCCTTCCTCGCCCCCTACTCCCTGCAACTCCCTCCCGGACCGTCTTTATTGCGCCCCCCCATTGCATGCCCTTGACCTCCCCCTGCTCACCCCCGTCCCAGCGGCGGGTGCGGGGCTGCCAGGGAGGAGGGGAAACAATTTCTAGAAATGTCATTAGCGGCTGGAGGTGGGAAGCGCTGCCCTCCCCCCCGCACCACCTCCCCAAGCTGCTGCCTCTGCCAAGTCCTGGAGTTTGCTGCGGGAAGCACGCTGCCCCCGGGCGGTCGCCGCTCCACGCCGCCGGCTTGGCCCTAGGGCGGCAGACTCCCGTCGGGTCCGTGTGGGGTCTGCGGGGTGGGGCAGACGAGCTCCGCTCACCGCCGGAGCCACCTGGTGTGCGGGGAGGAGCCCCCGATGGGACGCAGGTGGGATGCGGCGGGGCCCCGCCGCTCCCCCCGCGCCGTGGGCAGGCGGTGTGTGCCTGGCGCGGCGGGGCGGGGTGCGCTCCGCCGGGGCAGCGCCCGCAGTGCGCGCTCGGCCGGCCGGGTCAGGAGTGCGGGGTGATGAGGTTACTTTTGCCTGAAATCAGTCACCGGTGTGCGTTTTATTTTAAACCTTGATACATGATGTATAGCTTCTGTCTGTAGGGTGCGCGTTCGACAGCGCCGGCTTACGTCCCCGGTGGCAGGTGTAGCAAAATAAGCCGGACCAGCGTGTCCCGTTAGTTGAACCGCTTCTTACAAAAGGACCTCAGGATGACTAGAACAGCTTGCACTGCATAATATGGGTGCTTATAAATGCATACATTGATAATATCGAGCCTAATAAAACTTTTATATTGCTGTGGGAACTTTTAAAGAGTACATATAATACAAAATTAGTTACTACCCCATAAAAGTTTTTAATTATAGTATTTCTGCCTGTGACACAAGATTATATCCTCGTTTCAATTATAAATACTAATATGCAGTTTATATCCAAACGATAACATTTATCTCTGGCCTGATTTTAAGTTTACAGTCTGTATGCATGGTTTTACAATTAAATTACACGTTTTTTTCTACAAAACGAGAGTGGGAGAAATAATACTTTTACACATTTGAATGCTTTTCCCTTTCTTCTTGAATGTAGACAAACTTTGGGGGAATTTCTTTTTTCCAGAAAAACTGGACTGTCCATTAGGCTGTTCCACAAGCCGGCTATTGGAATTAATAATGAATTTGAAAAACTAATGATGTAACTCTGGGACATTAGGGCTTTAGGCTGGCAATTGCTCCTTCTCATAACATTTTCAGCATGCTTTTTGACTGTTGTGGAGCCACATTCAAATGACTCTGGTTGCCATAAAGCTCCCGTACAGGTACAAAAGGCATCAGCCGTTTCCCAGCTAAATTACCTGCTTAAAAATACCTGTATTTGACTTGCAGGCAATCTTGTGGTTTCGTAGCTCTTATTGTTTTTCCCTCTATGGTTGTTGCAGTTTAGAAGTTGAGTTCATCAGAAGGGCTTCAAGAAGCACATTAAAAGCTGTTATGTTGTGGCAGGCCGATGTTCATCGCTAAACTTTCACCCTTTTGTAGGGGTTGAACCCCACAATTGCCCAGAACAGTGCCTAGTGAGGAGGGAGCAGGGGGTTTGCAGGTATTTGCTGTTTTGTGTCTGAGTCCTTTTGGGACACTAGGTTATGCGGAGTGGCTTTAGCTTGGAGTATTTGATATCATGGGCTGGAAGTTCATTGTGAAGCAGCTGTTTTGGCAAATGATTCAAAATAGTCAGTTTTGAAAAGTTGTACAAGCAGTAATAAATAAAAACTTACTTTTGCTTAGTGAGACCTTCCAAAGTCTGTTGTGAAGGCCATCAGTGCCTCAGGACTCTGGGTCAGTCTCCCGTTGCAGGTGAGATGCCTGTTGCACGCTGCCCTCCTGCTGTCCTGCCCGCTCACCAGTGGGCAGGTTATGGATGTTCTCACGAAACCTTGTTTGAATTCGGTACTACACTAAGGAAAACAAAGCTGTTATGATAATGTTAAGCTCCGAAGGCTTGTGAGGATGCCTTCAAAGTTGTGCAGTTGTTGCCAATAAGGGAAATAAAATATACCACATAGATAGGAAGTACTTCATGGCCAAGAGCAACACTTAAAGAGACTTAATTTTCTCTACAGCAAGAATGAATGTTGTCCTCTTTTCTTTTAAATGTAGCCATAACGGCAATTTACGCACTTAATTTATGACTGAAAATCCACTTTTTGCAGTATTTGGTGAACATTTTACTTAAAAGTACAGTAATTAAATATTAATGTGCTGTTCCAAAGTGCTTTCTTTGATTTGAGATACTCTTAGAAAATCAGAAGGGGTTTCCAAATGAACAGCAGCATGATAATCAATTCTCATTGATTGTTACTATTATACTATTAATGATTTTTTTCTCTAATTAATACATGCTATGTCTTTTATTTTGCTATAGCATAGAAAATGTAATATGTCACATAATGGCTATAAGACAGCATTTAACTAGTAAACTGCAATGAAAGAATATTGTAAGCTGGTTTTTACTAAACAGTAGTTTTTCAAGGTTGTGTTGATGCCAATAACACTTCTGCTTCCCAGAAAACAACTATAATTCAAATAGTGAAAGCTGAGCACAAACTCAAATAGAAATTTTAAGAAAACATGCCAATCTGTGGCATAAAGAAAAGTTGTGCCCATTGGTAAGCTTTTTCTGGAAGACTTTGGGGTGATCAGCCCAACTTAATTCAAGGTGGTGTTACTCCTGACTAACACAGTTATCCTGAACACAGGGCACTAATGACTTCAAACCACAACCCCATCTCCTGTTTTTCTTTCTCCATGCATTTGTTTGTGTGCTGTATGGGTAGTTTTGCTTGTCCAGACTCAAGGATGTGGATTCTCCAGTGCCTTACAGCTTTGCATTTGTTTACACTGGGCAAAAAGAGATGGAAAATCTCAGACCTGTTTTATATGCCTCTTTTGTGGCAGAAGACATACTATACATGATGGAAAGCAGCAAGTGAGCAGACTAAAGGACTTAATCAGAGTGCCAGGACTAGTTCTGCATTAAAGGCATTTGTGTTATTTGCCTTATGTAACAAATCTAGACCAAAATTCAGCCAGTTCCTTAACTCTATGCTCAGGCACAGCAATAGCCCCAGTGAAGACCAGTTAGTAAAGGCTCTCCTCACATGCTGATTAAATAACACATGTAGGCAGAGTTGTTCCCCATTCATTAAAAGCAATTAGCAGATATATTAAAGCACTTACTGTGTTGTACCAAACAAGAAAATAATTTTGAATGTAAGATTTGTTAGCCACAAATGAAACCGTGTTTGTTTAAGTAAAAGAAGCCAAGTATGTAATTGGTTTATTTGGTACTTATCTGATACTTCTGTGAGTTTTGAGTTAGAATCAGTTTTGTAGGGGTTGGATAGTCATGTAAAAATGTATAGCTGTATAGCTTCCAAGCTGAGATCAATATCAAATGCCACAGTATAAGATGGCCCAGTGTGTTTTACAGGCCACATATTGAATTATTAGTTAATTTGCTATCTTTGGGTCTGTTCCTGCTCCATTTGAAGTCAATGAGAGTTTTGTTTGGAAGTTGCTATTAACAAAAACTGGTCAGACATCCAGCAGTCTTATAAATGAACTTTTTGTAACTTCTTGATCCCAGGTTGTCTAGCTTTTAGTCACTACACTTTATATTTGTGTAAGGCAAGATTTTTTCCTTATGTTGCGCAGTGTTTACTAGAGACAGTTTTAGAAAGCTACTTCCACGTATGCTTCTTCAGTCAAAGTAGAAGATCAAGATGTTTATTTTCAGATAGCTCCTTACTGTTACTTTGGGGGAAAACAGTCACTCCAGCCATTCTCTCAGTATGGAACAGGCTGGACCAGCTTAACGTTTTTACAGACAATACTCAGCAATAAGACCTCCCTCTCACAAAAGAAAAAGAATTAAGTAGTGTTTTCTTTTATCTCCCATCTCCTTTACAGCTCTACTTCAGCCTGTGTCTTGGACTTTGCCCCTTATTTCTTTCTCTTTAGCTCTTGGACTCTTTCAAACAATAATGCTTGAAATAATCTTTGTCCTCTTCTTATTTCTCTCTGTGGTGTTTCCCTTTTTGCCTTCCTCCCAGTCTCACCTCACAGTTACCACCTTCCCCTCATTGAGATCCCATCTAAAAATTTGTTCTTTCTGTGATGATTATAAGTTGTGAGCAAACAATAACACAAATGATAACTATAGATTGTTCCCTTCTCCTGCTTTCACAGCATGTTCTCTCTTCCTGATGCCTGTTTTTTAGGCTGGAAGCCCTTTGGGTCAGGAACTGCTTTTATTGTTTGAGTTTCTTTTTCTTGCAGCACTGAACAAATTGTATGTGCTAAAACATTATAAATAATAAGAGGAGCAAGCTTTTCATGGTCATAATACTTTATAAACATCAGCTGAATAATAGTATTTTAAAAACACATCTGCTGTGACGTGTGAATGCCCATTTGCTGA